GCCCTTCCCAAGCCTAAGGCGGGTTGGCAGAAATGAAGTCCTAGGTTTGGGCCTGAAGCAAGCACGACACGGCTCATGGGAACTGATATGGCCTTTGCCGCTCGCAGGGGGAATCCTTCACTTTTCGGGGAACCACTTTAAACGGTCTGCCGGCGTCCAGTCGACATTCGGTGGATTCAGGGCCGCATGGCTTGCAAAGCGGAAGCGTTCCTTTTGCCTGACAGGCACCAAGCCGGAGACAAAGCGAGTGCTTTGTCCTGCCACTGCCGCTTGCGCCACTCGTCAGACTCGGACTCGTCGGTCGATCTCCGTGAGACCGTCAGGGGATCAGATGGCCTCCCAGCCCTTATTTTGGCTCTTGTCCACCTGGATTTGGCAATATGTCGGATCATGTTTTGAATGTTTGGCAAAGTCCCTGGGGGGTCGCTGTGGGTCATTTTGGACCTTTGACCTACTTTTTTGGTTCTCAACATATGCATTTTAGTGGTCCAGTGTTAGCCATAGCAATCCTTGTTTGGGGTCAACGACGGTCACAGGGGCAGTAAAGACAACCAACACTTCAGTCATTCTTCGAGAAGCATTCAGTCGGCGAGGTGAGGAGAGCGTAGCTTTACAGTACCCACGTTCCCTTCGTGTTTGTTTTCCTCCCCCCGACCTGCATCAGGCCGCTGTGACAACTTCGAGCACCACTGCGAGCACCACCGCCACTGGGGCAGATAGCTGTTCTTTCCGGAACTTACCGCAAGGTGGCCTTTGTGTGTGTGTGTGTGTGTGCTTGTTTGTGCTTGTTTGCGTTTCTGCCCTCTTGGATTCAGTTGGAGTGAAATCGGAGCTGGGAGCTCGCCAGGCTGTTGTGAAGTGTTGAAGGGGTGATGTGTGTCTACTTGAGTATGTTTCAAGAAAGGGAAACCATGGGAAACCCAAAAAATGGTCGTTCCCTGTGGTTTCAAACAGATCTGCCAGGGTCCTCACTGTGAGAACCAGAGGAATCTTGTTTCGGGGCCTCCCTTGTGGTTAATGTTGGCAAAATTTGGTGAGAGCCAGGGTGCGCGATCCTTCTAAGGGCCCCTTTGTCTCCGATATTCGCAAACCCACAGGGGCGATTGCAGCAGTTTGCACCGCAAGAATGTTGGGTGGCTTTTTTGAGGGGGGGAGGCCTGCTTGGTGGATTGTGCTTCCCCTCAACAACTCGACTATGGCCTGGGACTAAGCGGCTTTCCATGGCAACTGCAACCTCGCTGAATCATGCTGTATCCCAATTGCCTGTTTCCCAGCAGCACCTTGCTCGTTTTGTAGCGAGCCCTTGCTTTTATGTGGCAAAGAAGTATGAAGTAAGATGCATTTCGGCTTTTTGCAAGGCAGCAAAGTTGCCTGCCAGAGTTCATGAGTCTGCGGCCGCAGGTTCAGTTGTTCTTGTCCCTTTGTATTCGGCGGGTTCTGTACAAAAAATGGTCAACCCCAAAGGGGCGACTGGGGTATTGAGGCTGGCGCCACCACCTTGACCACTACCACTGTGCCTGCAGCGCAGGCTTGGGCACTTTGGGATAACTTTGCCCTGGGGTATGGCTTGGGGTGGGAGGCCGGCGGGGCAGAATGTCCAAGTTCCGGTTGTCAGGCAGCAGGATTGTTGCGGCATCCCTCTTGGTTATCAGACATGGCCTGCTGTCTTAGGCCCCACTTGGCTTTGTTGGCAAGCAACAGGTGCGTGGTATCCGCTTCGATTCCGCGGCAGGCTATTTGGGTCTATGCCGAGTGGCTGCCGAGACTGCATTTGGCAGTTGTTCAAAAGCAGGGCTCCGTGCTGAGACCGCCTTGCGCCCCCTTGTGAGGGGGTTACCAAGAAAAAAACACCTCATTTTGAGAAACATAGGTTGCTCCTTCTGGGGTTGTCCGACAGGGAAACCCAAAGCAAACCAGCCCTGGATGGGGTCTCTCATTTGGATACGCCCTTGTGAGTTGTTTCGCATGTGTTCTGATATTTCTCTTTTGGGATGCTGTCAAATGATTTGCCCTTTGGCGCGGGGACGTGTAAGGGGGACAAGTCAGGAGTGCTTTTTCAGAGTTGGCAGTCACTCACCAGCCTAGGACGTCTGGCTCCGCAGACTGCTCCCAAAGGAGTTGCGGCTTGGGCGGCTCGGGCGCAAATTGGAGCTTGGCTGGATGCCAAGCTCTAGGTGTTGATTATGTTTGTCAACCATCGTTCCGTCCACCAGGTACTTGCCATTTCCGCTTGAGTCATTGAGTACTGGAAAGAATGAGGTAGCCAAACAAGGAGGCCAAATGATGCTGCTTGAAGGCATCGTGTTGAAGGAGTTGGAACAATCACTTGTGACCCCTGAGCTGGAGCACATTCCTTTGCGGGGTTGAGGCTACTCAATTTGCACTCCAATCGCATCGATGTCGCCCTTTTCGGGGTTGAGCAACTGCCGAGGAGAAAACCAACCCTATATGCGACTGAAACTTCCTTCACGGGTGCTCGAGGGTGCAACCCTGACCAGAGCCAAAAAAGACATGACTTCAGACTTAAAAGAAGTGCTCTAAAAGGGGGGTCCTCTACAACAGAAGGGGGTTAGGATGTTACATGTGTCTAGCGTCTTTCTGTCCGACGACATGGGGAGTGAATTGCTATGCGGGGTGTTCCGTTCTACGGGAGATTAATCGCTTGCTGGGGAAGCGTATGGAAGCGTACACTGACGCAGTTCGTCAGCTGGATCAATCTGAGATCGAGGTCGATGCTTCAAATTATCACGCCCGCTTGGAGAGGCAGAACTGGATTTGTTAGCTGCTAGCCGTTCGAAGGATGCGCTGAATTGTTGTCGTGTTAGTTCCCCACACGAGACACTTATTCATTGCCAAATCTGCCGGTTTCACAACATCCTTGGCAAAGCGTAGGGCTTCTACAGCATGGAACCTGTTCGCAAGGCAAAAGAAACAGCGGGTCGCTAGTGTGAATGACTCAAATCAGGGGCTGAATGGTTATGCACATTATTCTGGTTGGATCATGACTTGTTTTTCGTTTAAACCAATTTTCCACCTCCGGATCCGTCCAGCCCCCGTTCTTGACGATGTCTTAAAACCAAACGTAGGTATGGTGGTGATCTATCAAAGATTGGTGCAGGACATATCTATGATAGGATTTGTTGTTAGCAATTACTCCTGTGGTAATTAGTAGTATTATGGTTAGCTATCATAGGAAACATGTTTGAAATGAATCAGCGCATAGACCCCAGGTAGCAAAAAGCTGCACCAGCACCCCAAACTGCATGCTCCCTAGCGCCCTGTCCTCAATCTCGCAAACATGCGCCCGAGTCGTCACCAGCACCTCCAGCACCCCGCACCGCACCCTGCCGTCAACGTTGAATAAATGGGCCGCACCATCACCAGCACCTCAAACAGCATCAGCCAAAACAGCACCTGCCGCCTCGCACCCGGCCGCAAAGCTCACAAAAGTGCGCCCGTAACCCCAAACTGCATGCACCCTAGCACCCGCCGTCAATCTTGCAAAACTTGCGCCCGCGACGTCAGCAGCACCGCAAACAGCACCACAAGCAGCAACCCAAAACAGCACCTTGAATTGCATGCCCCGTAGCACCCTGCCGTCAATGTCGCAAAAGTGCGCCCGCACCATCATCAGCACCCCAAAACAGCACACGCATCTGCGAGGGATCAACCGAGAGATGAAGGCCGGGTGAGAGCATCCACGTGTCATGACGCCATGGCAACGTTGTGTCCATGTTTTGACAAACCACATCAAATGTTTTTCAGAAATAAGGGCTTCGTGCCAGGGCTTCATATTTTGGTTGTGCAGGGAAGTAACATGAAGTAACCAAGTCATCAAGGGTCCATGCTGATGCTTCCATGTGGACGTGCACATGAAGACGTTAAACAGGGCCGATGAAAGGATGCGATTTAAAATCAGCAAAGGTTTGTTTTGGTGTGAATGGCCCAAACCAATGCTTTCATGAGGCCATGAAGCTGCATGAAGCTCAGGTGAGCTGGTGGAGGAGAGGGCCGTGGTGTGCAATGACTTGAAATCTGGACGGAGGTTGCCGGATGGGATCTGCCAAGGCCGGCGGTTTCCGGGGGTTTTGAGCGCGGGCTGGGCGTTGGAGTGTGTTTGCCGTTGTGCTTCCAGGGCCTGATTCCCAATGTTCAACCAGCGTTCTTTTCTGAAGTCACTTTTTTGGCTGATGTTGCTCCTGGGCCATGTTCTGAGCAACTGGCAGGGCGTTGCCCACTGCCGAGTCATTGCGGCCAGTGTTCGAGGGTATGTGAGTATCATGATTGTCGGCAAAAAGCAAAATCGCAACACGCTGCTATGACCCTGACTTATTTTGGCTTTAAGGTACTCCACGACCCATTCTCATTGTTAAGGCCCTGATGTATGTCAGTCGGTGGTGTTTTTTCCTACTGTAGTCGTGTCCGAACTGTTATGGATCTCCCTTATGAACGCTAAGCATTCATGTGCGTGAGGAGCGAGCTCACCCGTCCAGTAAGAGGCGCAAGCAGGAGATATCAAATCGGAACCCGACCCGTCAAACGATTGCCTTTCCTTGCTGATTTAGAGGATCACCTTGTGAGGCAGGTGGTTTTGGCTGTATTCTTTGCGGAGCTGCGCCAGTTTTAAGCCCTTTTTTGATTGATAGGGGGGCGTGCGTTCTCTTTTGGGGCAAAGCTTCATTTTGCTTCGAAACCGCCTGTTCCTTCGCCAGGTTGAAGCCCTTCGATCAGAACACCCTTTTTTCAATAGCAGGTTTCTTCAGAAGCTTCCCTGTTCAGTGGCTTTGCTTGTTTTTTTAGCTGCGCCAGCAGCTTTGCGTGGAAGACATTTGTTGCTCAAGGCTGCAGTTGTCTACGATTGTCTACGTGACCCGCGGCACTAGCAGCGAGTCTTATGCCATCCTCCAGTCCTCATAATTTGGCCTCACAATTCATAAAGTAACACTCCGACTCTCGGAGGTCTGAGACGTCGTTTTCCGGGCGCCATCCCTCCCATAGCAATGCTGACAGCAAAGCTCGCGCCGAGCCGCGGTTGCTGGCGCCGGTTTGATGTGTGCCGCCGCCATGTGTGGAACCCCACCGTAGCTCTTGCATTGGCCGAGCGGTCTGCCAGCCTGCTGCGCACCTACCAGCATTTGGTGCCGAGTGAGCATGAGAGATGGTGTGAGAAGGATGTCGCGTGCTGGGACGTGGGCTTTGTGAACCAGAGAAAGCTTACACGAGGGCAACGCATCAGCAGCGGGCACTTCGCCTTCACAGGCTTTGGGCTGAGTCGCTTTTTCTGGGACTTCTACCCAAGTGGCTCCGAGCTGTCGCAGCCCGGCCACTCCGCGCTTTTCTTGTTCGGCCCTCCGGGATTCCAGATTCAAGGCGAAGTGAAGCTGACCTCGGACCATGAAGTGCGTCAGCTACAAGTCGACCATGCCTTCGTGAACCAGACCTTCGACATTTGGCCCAGCAGATTTCCTACTTTGAGGCCGGTCAACTTGCCTTGGTCAGTGGGAGTGGGCGATCATAACTTCTGCAAGGCGAGCGACCAGTTCCGTTCCATCGATTTTCACCTTCTCCAAGTGACGCGGTTCACGGCGGTGTAGGCATGCGAGCCGGACTCCCGTCTTTCAAAAAAGAAACATTGAGAGAAATCAAGTGAACCTCCCGCCAAACAAAGGATTCCTTATTTGTGGGTCCCTGCATTTTTGGGGGTCCACGCCGGAAGGCAGGCCTTCCTGAGGGAATGCACGAGGGGGCGTTTCCACTGTCGCGACAAGGGGATACACTTTTGTTACTTAGGTTTAAGCTTCAGTTGTGACCAGGCTTTGGATGTTCGGTTAGTTTTTTTTGGCAGGAAATTGTTTGCCATGATTGACTACCAAAGCATGTTCAGGTAAATTGCGTGAATGAATCGCGTGCCGCGCACTGGTGGCCGCACAAGTTCCAAATCTTATTTGGGTGTGAATCTTGATTCCGAACCCTGTGGTGGACATATTTTGTTTGCAGGTTCTGTGCACCAACCATTTTGGAGGGTAAGCAATTCGTTCCTTCGAATCACGTGTGGAGTCTGTTTAGGTTCGGTTGATCCAGACAGCGGATCACCAGGATTCCTGACCGGATAGGATCAACATATCGCCTGGGCCGCCTGTGCAACTGGATCCGGGCAAGATGCCTGGGTGCTAAAGCTAAAGTCTTCCACGTTTGGTTTTCCTCAACCTTCGACTCAGCACCCAGCATATCTAGCCAGACGTTGAGCGCACAGAAGTCAGATGGCTCAAGTTGATGTTGTAAGATGAGATAACACTCAGACTAAAAGAGCGACCTCGGGTGCCCGTGAAAGCGGTTGAGTTGGAGCTTGCTGCTTGCAGATCTGTGAATTCTGGAAATTTGATACATGCAAGCACGAGACGAGATGGCGCTTACAGCTGCAACAAGCTATAACAAGAGGTCTAGGCAACGCCGGCGGAAGGGATCAAGTTTCCCAATAAGGGTCATTAGGGGGCCCCCGTGTTGAACTTTTGAGGGAGCATCTTGGTGTAAAACATGGCGGGGTTTCTTTTGTCAACAGTTCAAAGTGTAATTTTGAGAGTGACACTTCGTTGGACCGGGGCTTGGGCTAATGTTCTACATGCCTCCAATGTTCCAATTGTCACATTTTTGTGAAGACATCACACATTCATACTCGAACTAGGTGTCCGTCGGGGTCGAAATCAGGGACTAGCTAATTCTACTGTGCGTCGCCCCTAAAAGTGGAGTTGATTCATTTCGGTGCGGCAAAAGCACCGAGGTACACCAAACGACTTCCAGACAAGATTGGCAATCTGGGTCCATGCAAGACAACCACACTAAGTTGTAAAAGGAACAACACCCCGAAATTCATCTTGAGAACCTCTGAATATCCAACTTCTGACTGACCCAGCAAAAGGACCAGAACTCGGACCCCCGCTCCGCAAAACGCCATGGAATGGGTCGCCATGGAGCGCTTGGAAGCGCCGGTAGAAGCAATGCCGGGCTTCGAGACCTACAAGAACCACCCGGCCTTCCTGCAAGCTCCTGGGCTAAGCCGAACAGACAGGGGATGGGATTGAATCGTGTGTTGCCCCCAAACAGCATGAAATCTCGGGCGGATTTGGTTGATTTGCATTGCTACTCCCAGGCGCCCAGACCTGCAACACAGGGGAGTTTTCCCTTTGCATTTCTTGTTGAGCAGATTTCCCGTGGCCACTGCAGATTTGGGTATCTCCAGGTTTTCCGCTTTAGTCCTCGCAAAGGTGGGGTCCCCTCCTAGCCAGGCACGAAACCATACAACATATTCGACAATCTGAATTGACTTGCGAGGTAAGGAGTTTCAATGGGATCGCTCAACACGCATTTCAATTTCCGATTTGCCACTTCAATATTGAAAGGCGCAAATAAAGTTTTGGAAAGCGCAAAGGGGGGCCTTGCCTATTTTTTTTTTTGTCGAGCTTACTTGGTAGAACGAGCGTATGATGATCCCTTGCGTGGGGATGCCTCAATTCTTGTTTTGGTCCCTTCCACCCGAGGCCGCTGATGTCTTCCCTTTGCCCTTTGTGCCCGGCGAGACGACCGACAATGCGAGCGGGGAGTCTGGTCGGAGTGCAGTGTCCGGGCTCGAGGCGGAGGCGGGTGCAGTGTGCGTGTGCGTCGTGTGCGTTGTGTGTGTGTGTGTGTGTTGGTTTTCAAAAGGAGACACGGGCGCCTGAGTTTCGCGCGAAGAAGAACGGGCAAAGCATGGGGCATGCTTGGGCGATCCAATGCTAGATCCTTTAAATTAGCCCTTGCTTGACTGTTCGGTAGGGGATCAGGCATGACCCCGAACTGACAAACTGGAAGTTCCCTTTATGCAAATTTCTAGCTTATTTTATCTTCTATGACAATCCCTGCTAGTTCTCAGGAGGTGTTCCTGCGAAAATCACCATGTCCCCCAAAACAAGGTTTTATCGTAAATGGGAGTTTCCATGTTGGGCTTTTGGAGCGCCTTTTGACCCACTTCTGCAAGGGGGACGCACCATGGCACCCAGTGTTTGTTGGGGGAGAGAATGGTCAGGAGAGGCCATCGGGTTTTAAGGGTCTTTGGAAGGAGCTCCTCCTTCCACAGGGTCGAAACTTATGAGTTTCCTGCTGTCTTCCTGTCTTTGTGCTGGAGTTTTCTGACTTTGTTGCATGGATGACGCCCAATGCCGTGGGCAACAGTAGGCAACTTGTTTGCAGCGTGCCTTACGAATCTGCCCGAGGACCCTGCCTTTGCTTTCACTCCAACACATACGGGGTGCCCCGGATATATGTATAACATACACACTATATCACTATATACTGCCCACACGAACACGCAACGAGCATACAAAGGGTGTATGTATGTTATACGCATATGTGTGTGATCATATGTGATATGTACACTCGAGGTACTTCCTCCAGGGTATCCGTTGAGATCGAATGGCAAAGCAGTTCGGCCAATAGCCTCGTGCTTGACTGGGGGCCAACCGGGTTGTGGGAATCAGGGTTCCTCTTCAAATTCGAGCCTTTTCTCATGAATTGGAGGAGTGTTCCTTTGGCCTTGCAGTGAAGTGGGCAATTCCCACACTTTAAACAGGGGGAGTCTGTGCTCAATTTGCCAGTTCAGGGTCCCAGTGTTCGATTTCCCCCAACTTCAACCCCCCCCCACTTCTGCGGCTTGCACCGAACCCGGGTGCAGGCGGCGGCCAGGGCTGAGGCTGGTAGCTGCATTTTGCTGTCGGACACGTTGGCGCTGGCTTTCCAAGGACCGGGGCGGCTTACTCGTTTTGTTTGAACGGGGAAGAAATGTGGCCGTCGGTTGTTGATTGTTCTGTGTCAGTGTGGGTTCCTTGATTTTCTTGAATTGCACGACGCTCGGATCAAGTAACCTAGAAGCTTACTAATGAGGAGGAGGGATGCCTCGTACTCTGCAGCTGTTCGTGCGATGTTTGTTGCAAGGAATGCATCTCTTCCAAAGGGCATGCCGCATGGGCCGAGCCTTTCTGTTTATTAGCCAGCACTTTGGCTCGCTTAGCCCAGCACTTCGCAGATCTTCGACGACATCCCTGCCTTTTGTATTCCTTTTCTGGGTCCACATGGAAAGCCGCTGGGCAACTGGGATTGCCATTGGAGTTCTGGGGTTCACTTACCCAAAACCCAAAGCCTTTTTGACAGTTTGGATTGGTGATATTAGGGGATGAACTGTTTTCTTCGGCATGGCTTCCATGTCGTTGCAGGCCAAAGCCACAAACCTGACTTTCGAGCCCCTTCAGGATCACAGCCTGTTCCCCATCCAGTGGATGGACGAAATCCAGAATGATGAGTCCCCTGTAAATACCAACAAACAATGGTGTCAACCAATGGTTTCTGAGGTGCGACAAAATTCGCAACCATCAGTAGTAAGGTAGCCTTTCTCTTTCATATTACTGTTGCATTTTCCCCTTGAAGGACGGCAGGTCATCACTTGCTGCCTCAACACTGGAGCTACTGCCAGCTGCCACTTGAGTGATGCTCGGCTGACGAGTCTGTGCTTATCCAGCCCGGTTTGCGCCTTCCAGAGGAAATGTGAAGATGGATATGGTTATTATATAACATCCAGCTGGCTTTTTCTGTTGGGTAGCAAACCATTTTCGTTGATCCGTGTTCAGTCCTGGCCAAAGGCGGTTTGCATTGGCATGGGGCATGGGACGCAGCGAAAAACCGCTGATCATGGAACCTGAAAACCCAGCCTTGTGTAGAGCTCTTTTTTTTTGTTACCCCTTCTTGGGCTCCATCTTGGTCACTCTCCCACAAACATGGGAATCAACACGAACCATGTCCAGGACAATGTTCCAAAAGGCTGACGCACCACGCCAGGCTTCCTAAGTGGGAGAGCAGGAGCGGGAGGATAGGGCTGCATTTCACATTGCCAGAATCATATTGCAAACGAGAACTTGCGTTTGTCCGCGCTAGTGTGTCCATCTTTTGCGAGCCAGGTCCGTTGGACCCAGCCCCTCAAGGTTTCTGAGGCTTTGTGTGATACGGGAATTCGGAATCCCAATCAAACAACTGAAGTGATTTAGTCCCTTAGGGACACCAATCTCATCTTGGTTTCACGGCCACGGCGAACATGAACCCCAACAAGAAGAAAGCGGACGTTCTTCAAAACATGGTTTTGTTGGGCTCGAGGTTAATCTTCACGAAAGTTTCCACAGTCAGGATGTCATCCTCTCCATGGCCCGAGCTGCGCCCTTGGGCTCGACGGAAGGCGACCAGATGGAGGTGTCGCTCGAGCGCGAGCTGGTGCTCCTGAGCACGGAGAGCGGGAGTCAAGGCCAAACTGGGCAAGCTTTGGCTCAGCTTACTTTTCAAGTTTCTGGATTTACATCGTTTAGGAAAGACAAGGCGAGAACTCTGCTTTTTTAATCCCGCTCTTCGCGGGCCTTTGAACTGAAAAGAAGGCAGAATGCTGATATATCTTGCTGGCAGCAACTTGTCCTGCCAAAAGCCCTGCCAAAAGCCGAGTGTACTCACCATGAGCAGCGGGTCATGCGGACATCAGCCATCTGTTTTCCTTTGTTTGCATCATTGCTAAATGTTAAAGTTGAATGTTGGCGCGTGTCAACTGGCCAAGGATGTCCCTCCTGGAGGTGTCGCTGGATGGCCAGCTGCAGGCGGTTCCCGCGGAAGGGAAGTTTGGGCACGGGCTGGGGTTCCGGGCCTCGAAGCGGCCAAGTTGCTTGGCACCCAGTTTCCCATGGGGTGCAGAGGATTCGTCTCCGCGATTTCTCGAAATGTGCCGATGTCCAGTGAGTTTCCTCTCGGAGTGATGGTTCGGTCCCATGAGCCCCAGGTGCTGCGGCACTGCGCCTGCGAGGTGCCGCGGCTCTACCTCTCCGCGGCGGCTCGTGAGGCCCTGCGCGGCACTTGTCTCGGGGAGATGGCTCATGCTTCCTGTGGTCCCATGTTGATTTTGGAGATGTATCCATCTGGCAGGTTGGAAGGTTGCCCCCGCCTCTGTGGGTTGACATGGCTTGGATATGAGGCACTTTCCGGTGCGTTTCCTTCGGTCAGGTCCCAGCTGGCCTTTCCTGGATTCATGTTGAAAGGCTGTTCAACGCATTTGGGCGTGTCTTTTGTTAGCCAAAATTGTGATTGTCTTTGGCTTCCCCTTAAAAACCGCCTCGAGCCCCCAGTTTCTCGAAGGGCAAGCTCGGCCCTGTTCCCCGAGAGCTTGGTCCTAGGAGACCAGTGCCGGCGCCGGGGCAGTGCGGGTGCTCGCCTACTCTGTCAAGGAGAAGGACATGGCTGAACGAGGGTTTCAGCCTGCTGCTGTCTATACATTGGCCCCCCTTGAAGGTGACGCCCACGTGACACAGTCTCATGAGAATTGCCCAGCACAGAAAGGCATCCATTTGGGCTTTGAACTTTTCAGGAAAGAATACTTCGGTACACAAAGAAAAGAGTCTACACTTTTCCTGACCAACACACTCAGGAAGTGAGCTTCGGTGCAGGGTTGCTAACGATGCCTGCAGGGCTCGCCGGAGTGGAGAAAGTGATCTCACCCATTAAGGTCCTTGAATTCTGGATTCCTTTATGTCCGGTTTGGACATTCTACCTTTCCCAGACCCATGCTCGGGGCTCGGATTGGTTTTCAAAATCTTTCGGGAAAGACCTAACATGAAGCAGAATTTGGAAGTACCGTGGATGGACAGAATCTGCTTCGCCCCAGCTGGGATGGATGAAACCCTATGAATGCTGGGATAAGCCACCTACCAGCTCTCGCGCAATTTCGTGCATCCATCGTATGACGTTGGGACCACCCCAGAGTCGGGCTGAGAGGAGGTGGAGATGCTGGCGCTGCAGGTGATGGAAGACGTACAGATCCTTTGGCGTAGCTCCGGGGCCCATCCGCCTCCCGGCCCATTGCCAGTGTTTTCCTCCTTATTTTTTCTTCGGGGGGAAGGCTGCTTCCGCTTGTTTCCCTTTGAATCAACTTAGATGTGTTTTCTTTGTTCAACCTGTTTTGTTTTCAAGGAAAACCAACAGGGAAACCACCCGTTGGGTCCAAATCCCGATTTAATTTTGAAAACACCACCCAACACGGTGCTGTGTTTGTTCCATGGAAATCCGGTGGGCTGAGGCCTCAGGGTGCGGTGTGGGCCCCGAGCTGTTGTATCATGCTGGCATGCGGCTTCCCGGACGATGGCCTGGAGGACGAGTTAAGGGGTGTCCACAACGATATTACACGTTTAGGGATCCATAGTTTTTTTTCTGGGTTCCATTATGTTCCATTTGTTGTTTGTGGGACAGGCTAAAACAACATTTTGGGGCAGGCTACATCATGAAACCAACTGTTAAAATGTGATTTTCCGCGTAGCCCAGATGCGGGCCAAGCTATATGTGTTGTTCAAGTTTGTCAAACGGAAGCCAAAAGGGAATTGGTGGTTGTTTCTATTTCTTCCCGGGCCCTCGATTTTGAACTCAGATTGGGGTTCCGTTCCCACTTTCCACATATGCCAAGTAGTTGTTGGGAATGCCTCTTCGTGGCCTGGTGTTGAAAATGATGCTTCACTTGTTGGGTGTCATTCCAGGGTGAAATGCAGACATCCTTAGAATAGTGAATCGAGGGATTCTCAAGTGGGTTTGATGCAACTGGGGTTCCTTAAGCAACCCGGAGCCCTCCTACTAGCCAACCTGGTTGTGGACATGACGGTTTCAGGGCCACTTTCCGTGATACCTTGGCAATCCCCTGTCAAACTGCTTAAATGGCCCTTGATGCTCTTACTTTGGCATCATGGAAAGGGTAATTTCCCACAAATGCGCGGCTGCGCAATTCATACGAGCTCAGCTGGGGTCAACATCCTTGGGCTCTTGCTTATTTTCAGCTGGGAGTTACCCCAAATCGACCTGTTTCAGGAGCCCACGCTGTCGGTGCTCCGGGTACCATCGCTGGAACTGGAGTCGCGGAAGCTGCCCCGCGGGGTGCCAAAGCTGCACCTTTTGGACTAACGGAATTCCCGTTCTGAAGCTATTTTTCCTGATGGGGAAGCCTTTTTTGTTGGACTGCTTCAAAACCAAAATGCATTTGACCATGAGGGTTGGTTGGTGTAACCGGAAGCTGCTTGAGGCGATAGGCGATCGACTCAAGTGCCTTGGGCTGGGCACACTGTGACTGCATGGCCCAGTTCGGTCTAGCTAGATCACGGGGGGGATGTTGCGCCTGGCCAGAGCAGCCTAGCTGCAATCTCACCTCCGATGTCATGTATCATGTCGCATCAAGGCTTCGCATCAAGGCGTCCACTTGATTTTCAGATGTCTTGAATTCCAACGTTACTTGGCAGTAGGAAAAAGGGAGCGCCGCTGCCACACCTCGTCGAGGAGCCCTCCCGTTGTTTGGTCAGTTTGGCTGTCCTTGTTTTGTTTTTTGTTTGTGTGGTGGGGGGTGGTGGTGATGGCAATCCAGCTTAGAAGCGGGTTGATAACTTTCGTACGAACCTGTTTCGACCTTTAACCTGGAAAAGATTGCATCAACGGCCACCTGTGGCTTGCTACCTGCAAATTGGCATAAAACAAACAAAATATGGTTCAGTTCCTTCAGGCGGAGATTCCTCTTCAAATGGATTGGATGTGTGGCGTGCCCATCAATCTGCACGCTGGAAAAGCGCTGGGATCTGAGGACCTCTTGGCCTGTGCCCCTCACGGCGGCGTGCTGCACGTGGCGCTATCCTCTGGCACTGCCGGTGGCGCGCTGCTCTTCCATCTCCACAGGAGGTGGGGGGGACAAATGAATGCCCCATAGCTTTCGCAACCCCAGGCTGTTTAAGAGAAAACAGGTTCTAGGCAGCTGCGTATTTTGTTTGCTTGTTTGTCGTAAGATGTTTTTGTTTTGGCCAAGTGGGCCAAGAAGATTCCTCAACCCTTGTGCCAGATGCTCGTGGCTTCTCGTGTTGTAGTAGGGTCCAAGTACGGATTACGAGATAGCTTCACGGGCTGGGATGGATCAGTTGAACATAAGCTTGGTTCATCCTCTTCATTGGCATGCTTCTCGGGAACATGTATTCTGCGTATTTCTGCTGACGAACGCCAGGATGCTATTTCTGAGTTGGTGAGTGAGCAAAATTGAACCGGTGGTATTTGATGCCATTCTTGTGCGTTGCTAGTGACTTGCAATTTAGACAAAGGCTTTGCTCGGTAATTTGCGAGAGCGTTTGGCACTACAAACAGCCGGGCCAGGGTGTTTCTGAAGGACCCACCAACCTGTATAGCCCGAAGCAGAACAAGCTTGCCTTCTTGGACTGCCTACTTTGTGCTTGGATCATTTACAAGCAGCAGTGTGGATCTTGTTGTGGCCAGTCCATTCAGGCAGTCATGTTAATTGCCTATCGATTCCAGACTCAATTTCTCCAGGCCTGCCCTCCGACAATCATGGAAGTGGACGACGAAGGGGTACTTATGTGTCCTTCGCTTTCTCCCCCTTCTCTCCTTTTTGCTCTCCACTTAGCAGGAAAATGACATTGCCTGGCCACTTCCATGGGATGATGGTTTCCATTTTTTTCCTGAAATTCCGCGCACCCGCCTTTTTGCCCCCCCCCCCCCCCCGCACTTTCGCTGAGGTCCCCCTGGCTCGGAGAGCCCAGCCTGCTGCCGGCGGCAGGGGCTTGCAGAGATGTTCGCGGCAACGCGGCTCGGCAAAATTTCTGGGCTCAAGGATCTCCAAGACTAGTTCATATTAATTCGGGCGGTCAAGGATCTCTTCCAAAACTAGTTCTTTAGGCTAACTAATATGAGGCAGAATCTGACATAAACACATACATATAGAACATATACAATATATACATACATGTTTGTGTGTACCCCAGGTTTGGAATTGTGCGTTTCATGGGGGTGTTGGCATTGTTGGCTTCACTCAGGTTCTCATGGCCGTGGCTCCCGATCGCAGCTGCTTTGCGCTTGCGGCTTGGCTCGAGCAAACCCGCCGAGGATGTTCTCCCATGGTCTGAAGAAGGTCTTTCAAGGCATGAGGAACCTGGAACATTTTTCCCCAACTGAAAGCTTTTTGAAATCTTTTGCCAACCACTGTGTTGGGGATGCCACCTGGCCATTCTTTTTTCCAGGGGGGAAGCGAGGGAAAGTATGAAGTAGAGTGTGTGTTTTAGTTCGCATTTTACTTTTTAACGGTTGAGTGGTTCCCTTGCTCCTTTTTTGACAGGTTCCCCCTCAAATCGACTCAAATGGTCAACTCCAGGCTTCCCTTTCTCTTGGCATGTTTTGCTTGGGGGAACCCCAGGCAACTTGGTGTGTGTGGTGTGGCTTTTCTGGAGGGTACCCGCCTTATTTTGACACAAGGACCCACTTGAACCCCTCCCTCGTTTTGCTCAAAAAAATGTTTGCTAGGAATCTAAGCAGGTTGGGTGAACATGATTTACCCTTCACAACATGGAACTTGACTTGAGGTTCCGCACGGTATGTTTTTCCAAAGGGATCTGTGGTCACCAAAGATGCCTTTAGGACACTTGAACTTTGATGGTGGGTTGAATGTTAGTTAGTCGGTGGGAGGGTAAGTGTGTCACAACCAGGCGCTGGTTCAAAGCAAGCGAGGAAAAGCCTGAACATTCCCAGTTGTTCAGTAGCTGCTGATGGTGGCATCCCATCGACCCCAACAGGATGCCTTTGTCTTCCGGGGTGCCTGAATCACTGGGTTTTGGCTTGGTTTGTGGCTTCACTTGCGGTCCGGGCCATCTCCTTTTGACGCATTGGGAGAACTATTCGAGGGCAGGCTGCTCCAATGGGTTTGGTGAGTCTGGTGCTTTGTCAAACTCGGAACCAAACAGGGTGTTGTTTTATGATGATTCTTGTTTTGCTTTTTCGATGGCACCTTCTTGTTTTGATTGAAAGGGGAGCAAAGGGAATCCAAGACACTAATGTCTCTTCTCCCAAGTGTGGTTGATACACTCAACAAACAGCCCTATTCAAGAAGGTCCCATTGGGCCCAACGCATTTTCCGCGCATTGGGCCGCCCAGCTCAGAGGGTGTCGAGTGATAGGTGCTTGGATGAGCATCGGATTGCGCTGGTTTGAGCTTGGTGGAACCTGACGTTCTGGGGTTCTGGAGCACACATTTCCTCCTAAAGGGACCCTTTGGTGGGTTCCGTGTGGACGGGAGGTTGTTGATCCTAAGCTTCTACTGCAGGTGCAAGTAGGTTGCGCAATTTACTCATTTTGAGGGTGTTGATTGTGACTCAAGTTTATAGGCTGCCCTTTGAAGTATTTTAAGGCTCTTGAACAATCAGCCACCCAAAGCAACCTTGAATGAACAATAAATCTGGCGAGTCTCAGGTTGAGCGGGACATGCTGGGCGTGTCCCTCTTTGGCTCTCCCCAGGGGCGGCAGAGGGCGCCAATGGCTACTGTCAGCACCAAAGACTTGGCGCCACTTGGCCCTGACGCACTCCCCTTGCGGGGGTCTCAGAAGATATGGATGTGTGTTTGCTTTGAAGGCACCTTCTTGTTGGTTGGTTTCAAAGGGAAACCAAAGGGAACCAATTATGTCGGTATTTCTTAGGGTTCCCCAATTTGAGGACCAATTAAGTGGTTTCCCTTTAATCCGCAATGTAGAGGGTGACTTGGAGGATAGCGCTTCCCTTTATATGAGCTCTGGCGATGATCTGCCACCTGGAGAAGAAAGCTCTCTATACTTTGTTTCTTCCGGTTGCTATTGTTTGTTTTGCTGTTGGAAGCCCTTTTATACCACAAGGCGGGCTAAATGATAAATATCTAGCAAAGCATGGAACCCAGAACGCCAAGTTGCCTCAGAGGAATCTCCCGCACCGCACTCGGTCGGCCTAGGAAGTCAGAGCCAGTCCAAGCACTTCTCTCCGCAGGCCCCGCAGGCCAGGTGCTGCTGCGCACCAGGACCTGCCTGGTGCGGTGCCGCCTGAACTCGGACGCCCAGGCGTGAAAGCGACCCCTTTGGCTCACTTGCCCCAGCCGAATTTCGCCAAGAAAAGTCTAGGCTCAATATTTTGCTCTGTTAGTAGTTGTTTTTCTGATATGTTTTTTTTCTCAAGCGCTGGTGCATCCTGTGTTGTTTCCTTGCTTGGGTTCCCATGTTAGCCAAGGTTCCAAAAGATGAAGCTGGTATTTCCAGGTCTGCTGGGCAGATGGAGCCAGTTTCCAAATGCGCTGGCGTTGAGTCTCCAAATTTGGGATCTGTCCCAAAACGATCACTGAGTTTGACGCATTCCCATTCTCTGTGTTTGCGTGGTACTGTTGTTTGATTGTCTCCAGGGAGGCCAACTGTTTGGGCATTGAGTTTCCATTTGAGCAAAACTCAATGTGTTGCGCACATGTGCATTGATGGTTCCCAGAACTGTCCACCACCCCGGAACCCAACTTTGAAAGAAGCTACAACTATTCATTGCGGGAGGTAGTATGTTGGAGGGCTCGAAGTGCTAGCACGTAACGTTTGGATTGCCTCATTTCAAAGTAGGTTTGGCGGAAAAGAAACACTTTGCTTAGGGGATTGGGATTGAAGGTAGGATCCGTCCACGTCAAAAGCCTTCGTTCAAAACGGGTTCTTGGAACAAGACGCATTTCAAAACGCCCACGAAGGAATTTACGGAAGATTCATGGCGCCGGCTGGCTCAGGTGGAGGGGGTGAAGAGGGAGCTGATCTCCAGGGAGGACATGCCGTTGGGCATGGATCCCAAGGCGCGACCCTTCGACCCTTTTGGGCCGAAATGGGTGCGTCTTGTTTTGGGTGGCGCCCCTTTCCATTTTGGTTTTAATCGGAAAACCAACATGTTTGTCGCTTTATGGCATGAGGGTAGTGTTGTGTATATCACTCCCAACCCCGTTTCCTCCGTCAGGTTAAACGAGCTTGCCCGTGATTAAGATCGGGTACTTGCGGTTCCTTATCTTCAGTTTGGAGTCATGCCAACTTGCGCAGATGTGGAGTCTGAAGTATTTTCAATCTTGTCGTATCACAGAACTGCGTTGTCCCACGACCAAGGCCAAGGAGAAAAGCTGGGGCATCACAAAAGTGGCGAAAGGCTTCGCAACGAAGCTAGTCTTCCACAGCTGTTCCCTTGTCTCCTGTCCTGTTTCCTGCACTTTGCCACCCTCAAGCAATGAGTGCAGTCCTTTTGCTTAGGATGTTAGCGAGCATCGCGACCTAACCGGGGCGATTGTCATTCAACGTTGCTCAACAATTCATTAATTTTCCCCCACATTCCCACCAGACGCAGATGCAAATACACCATGGACGTTGGTTGGTCTTTTCTTGGTTGCCTACCCTTCAAGCTCGGTTGGACCGTTCCCCTGCCAGTCACACCTATAGGGGAAGTTCAACCAGCCCTGTGCCCTGCCAGGCTCTGTTGAAGATGTTGGACACCATGGGCGAGGACTAGGTGATCACAGGACCTGCCCACCCGGGGAAAATAAGCGCGTGCGGTGTGCTGCAGGCAACTGCTTGGGTTGTGCCCCGTAGAACGACCCATAAAGCTTTGATTTTCCCAAAAGGAATCCAGGGGGGGTGATTTTTGTGTGATTTTTATGTGTTACTGAGAACCAAGAGGTACTTGCTTGTGGCAACGCGGGTGGTTGATCTAACTTCCATCCGCTGGGATTTCGGGTCATTTTCCGAAAGGAGATGTGCGGTTCGTTTTCACGTCGTTTAGCTTTGGCCTTTGCTGTGTTGGTGAACCCCGGAGCTGCCAAATTTGTTTTTGTGTTCGGGGGGGTGGGAAGGGGGAGGAAGGAAGCAGAACCCGGCGGTTTCTTTCCAGAATCTGTTCCTTTTTTTTAACGTAGTGCCAAAGCGTTTTACCCAATTTTCCTTCTCCCCCCTTGAGCTGGGAGTGACTGAAATGCGCCGGGGCAACCTCCATGGGGTCTGAACTCCTTAGAGTTGGCAAAAACCAACCTCTGGTAGGTTTCTTCACCCCTAGTAAACTCACAAATGTCCACCTGTTCTCGCTATTTAGCCCAAGAGATCTCTGGGAACCCACAGCATCAAGAACCACAGTGACAAGATGCAACACCACTGACTTTCCTCTTCTGCAGCGCCTTGATCATTTTGAACTCTTCATTCAATGTGGGGTTCTAAGCTTGCAATTGCCAGGAAGCAGAACAGCTGACATGTCAAAAATCCAGTGTTTCGTGCGTTTATTATGGCATACTGTGTCATACTTTTTTTTTTGTTTTCGTGGTTTGGCTGTCACTTGTTTTTCCAAAATGAGACGTCATCGTGCAAGCCTCCCGGAGCAGTCTGAAGGAAAGCAAGCTGGTCGTTGCACCCGTGTACAGGCACCAAGCCAGAGACGAAGCGGGTTCTTTGTCCCGCCACGGCTGCTTGTGCCACTCGCCAGGGCGAGAAATGTTAGCGGGCGAAGGTCAAAGGGGTTGAATTTTGAAGACGCCACCAACTCAACCTTTCTCATCCTCACACCAGGCCTTTGGGGATTTGGGGCGGGAGCTTTCAAAGCCGTTGCTTGTGGAATCAAAATGGTGCCACCTGGCCCAAGTCAGCGAAAGGAAGAATGTAATTGCTTTGCTCCAGCAGGTCCCTGCAGGCTTCGAGCAAGGACCGTCAGAGGGTGGGCTGCAGCTCAAAAAATGACCGTGTGGACAACTGGCTTCAGGGCCGCATTCTGTAAAACCAAGAAAGCCCTTTGAAGTGATGAACCCAGACAATCAATTCACAAACATGCGCATACCCTTCAAGTGTAAAACCCCAGCAGGGGGATCAAAGATAGTTGAGGGGCCCGGTAAATCCTTGATTGAAGGAGTCTGAGTGTCATGGGTGCCCGAATTTCGAGGCGTTGCTTGTGGGGCACGGCGGTCATGTGTTGCATCCCTACCCGCATTGAATGGGGGAGTTCGTACCCACAGGCCCGTGCTACTACATTTCCCCCTTTGGTCGCATTTGCTGCGCTCAATCACACTTACTTTCGCGCAATTCAACATACCCCCAAATGACACTTAGCTTGGAGCCATGTCCTTTGGGCTGACCTTGACATCATTCGCTGTTGCTCTCCCCACTTTCCAGTGGAGTTTAGAGTTGTCCCCAAGCCTAGCATAGCTCTTGACACGAGGATTATGGTTCTTCCTCGAACAGGTCTCCAATGCACAGAAGAAAGAAAGAGCACTGTTCACGCATTGGGGCTCCATTTGCCTGAAGGGGTGTTGCGTACACCACATGTTTGTTGACCAGTGCTTACACTTGAATCGCACGAACGGAGATGTCCTCAACAAAAGTCATCTTGGAACAGCCGTTGTTTGTCAGAAACTTATGTTGCAGACATTGGCATGTTTATGCTTGGGTGTTGTCTCTTGTGTTGTGTGTCCTTATTGAATTCAATCGCCGGTGCAGACATTTAAGTCCGGAAGTTTGTGCTAATAGCATAAGAGGTTGAGAGAGGGCGCAGGATCAACACCCCACAGTGCTTATAGACAAACACCAAAAGTAGGGGGGGCCTGGCTCCAACTTTCCCAATGTACTTGTGGGGAAATGGCTAGTTTCCTAAGGCAACAACAACGCCGGCGGCCACAACCACGACTGCAGTGTCTTGGGCAGAATGCGGCCAGGGTGAGACCAAGCCTGGCCACTTCCGCTTCGAATAGCCAGGTTGTGCTCATTGTGTTTTGGAGTCTGGTTCTTTCACCTCTTTCGATTGTCCAGTCATACCGGTCTTTAGGCCCTCGGCTTTTTCCAGCTTCAGCCATCATGGTCGCCGCAAGGGCTGTTTTTTGTTCCAAGTCCATCAAGACCAGCGAGCTCGGACGTCAATGCAGCCATGGTAGGTCATGGGGCAGGTTCCATGTACACCATGTTCGCCTGCATTGGCAGGCAAGCGGCTGGCATCATGGCAAATTGGTTGTGGTGCCTTCTTTCCCCTTTGTTCGGAGCGGTGGTGTGCTGCACCTGAGGCAACTTCCACTGCAGCTGCGAAGGCACAGGGAGATGAGGGGATGGGTTTTTTCTTGTACGTTTGTGCCCCTGTAGCTGGGACCTTGTGCGTATTGGGGATTGATCTAGTTGTTCATTTTCCAACGTTCAGCAGTTTGCTTGTTTCTGGCTGGCTCCCTGGCTGGGGCTTAACTATCGCTTTGAATGCTTGGATTTGACATCCCCCGTCGACTTACCCGTCCAGAAGTCCAGCTGCCCAGGATTCGAAGTTGAGAGCTCAAGGCCACTGGTGCTTTCGGTGTAGGTGAATTGGCGGTGAAGTAACCCAGAGCGATCTGACCCAGAGAGATCCTGTACAGGCTAGTGCAACTTTGATCTTCTGACAGCCAAACCACAGAATATGGGGCCCGGGGCCCGGGCCCCCATCGAACCCTTGGGCCGCTTGACAAAAATGTCAGGCGCCGGTTTGGGTCTACGCCGAGTGGCCGCGGCCTCGGAAGATTCCCCATCCCCCCAAGCCCGGAGCCCGGAGCCCAACACGTTGCGTTTTTGTTTGGGGCCATTTGTTGCCTGGGCCCTTGGAAGGTTTTTGCCCACAAATGCCGTGTTAGGCCCATGGGGCATCGGGTTCCCGAAGTGCAATTCGACGATTCAACGGGGCCGGTTGAGCATCTGTTCGGTTCCCTTCGCTGACGGGCCACGCGGCCACCCTAGGGGAAAAGCAAGCATGGCCCCTCCCCTAGTTTAGACATCAGAAATGCCCAAAGGGGTCCAACTTGAACCCCCTGGAAAAGGCGCGGCGGGTCAAAGAGCAAACGCTGTCTCTTCGTAGAGAAATGAGTGTTTGCTTGTCGCCTTCTGTAGTACTGACAAGCTATATAGTCATTGAAGGGGGATTTACCTCCGCAGCTCTGACAGTCAAGTCACGCAGGCAAGCAAGCTTGTGTTTTTTCTCCGGGGTACGAGTGGGTTTTGTCTCTTCCCCAGAAGTAGGTTGCTCTCGTAAACGGTGTGTGAAAGCGGAGCTGGGCCAGTCACTCGGGATCCTATTTTTGATCACCCCTCAAGCGGAATCCAAAGAAGCAATAATTCGTCTTAAATGGGTGTCTTTTATACGGGGCACCCCGCTTTGTTCTTCTTGTTTGTTTGTTATGATTTATTTATTTTCAAGTAACAACCGACAAACCTACAAACAAGTCGCATGCAAATGGACCATGTTTGGGTTTGGGCGCGTTCCATGAGACGCCTGCCTTTAGGTCCACGAGCTCCACAGACTGCAGCCAGCGCCCCTGCGGCGCCGGCCTTTTGGCTTAAAAAGGGCGCCGGGCGCGTCAGCGCCGGAAGGTCCTTGTGGGCGCAAAACAAACATATTTCATGTTTCCTTCAAAGGGAAGTCAAATTTTCGAAGGCCCCTATGTAGCACGCATATTTTGTTTCAGGCCAAAAAGGGGCCAACAAGGGAAGTCTTGAAATAGACAGAACATGAAAGCAACCTGCTCGGGTGTTGCAACCTGGGCTGTATGCAACCACTTCCAGCAGGGTTGACTCCATTTGGAGAACCTTGAAGTTATTTTTGGCCTAATAGGCGACTAAAAGCACACTTAGCCGGGCAGAAGACATAAAATAGAGGGGGCATGAGCCAAATATGCCAAATCGAGGCATGTTTGGTGAATGCCCCCTGGAATTCCAGCCGAGGAGAACTCGTGGAGGAGCGCGCGGTGGTTTGCAACGACCTGACCTCCGGCAAGCAGGTGTCGGACGACAGCTGCGCAGGCTGGCATAGATCGGCACACCTTGCCACCAACATGGACATGCACTCTTTACTCACACCCTATCCCCTAGACCTTTACAAAGTCTGGAAGACGACTTGCACGACTGGCAAGCAACCCGGACATCAGAGCCGGGTGTGCCCCTTTGTTGAGGCCCGGTACCCCCTCTTTTACGGCTGGGTTTCACAGGCAACCGTTTTGGGGGGTCGGGGAGTGGGGGCCTCTAGGACTCGACCTTTCGAGCTTAAGTTATTAAGGCTTTTCCAGATCGGATTGTAATGTTTAAGTGTTGATTTATTTGAGTCAAAGTTCCAATCCACAACAGAACGCTTACATCTACACCTGATACAGCTGCGTGGGTCTATGCCATGGAGGTATGTTGTTGTTTGCTTTCCATCCCTTTTTGGATGATGCTTAAAGGCACTATGTTTGCTTATAGTGGCTTGCCTTTGTCCTGTTGAAGCCAAAAGACGGTCTCCAAAAACAACAATATCCTGGGCGGCACCCATGTGGCAAGCCCAAGCGATTCGAGGAGACAAGCCCGAGGGCAAGCGGATGCTTTGCCCCGCTGCGAAGCCTTGTGAGGCGAGTGCTTTTTGGGTAAGTCCTTATGTTTTGGGGGGGAACCCTCAAAAACAGACACTCTCATGTCAGTCAGTTGTCCAAAGCTGACCCTAAGCTTTTGTGTTTCAAAAGGGAACACCTCATGGGGGGAGCATCTCGTACAGAT